TTTGAACAGACTGATCGGTTCAACTCTCTGTCTCGGACGGAAGGAACCTGAAGGAGGCTACGCCGAAGGGCGGAGTCTCCTTCGGGGAGGGGCTCAGCCCTGAACCCGTTGAGGCGGGTTCAAACGGGCATATTACAGGCCGAGCCCACGGGCTCCAGGAATCCACAATAAAAAACCGACCTTGTGTCACATGGTTCCCCAGTGGGGGAGACTCAATATCGTGAGTCAGTAGTTCACATTTGAACAGACTGATCGGTTCAACTCTGTCTCCGGACGGAGAGGAACCCGGAGGCTACGCCGAAGGGCGGAGTCTCCTTCGGGAGGTAAACCGGCCCTGAACCCGTTGAGGCGGGTTCAAACGGGCATATTTTTGGGGCCGAGCCCACGGGCTCAGGAATCCCACAATAAAAACCGACCTTGTGTCACATGTTGCCCCAGTGGGGAGACTCAATATCGTGAGTCAGTAGTTCACTTTTGAACAGACTGATCGGTTCAACTCTCTATCTCCGGACGGAGAGGAACCCGAAGGAGGCTACGCCGAAGGGCGGAGTCTCCTTCGGGAGATAAAACAGCCCTGAACCCGGGAGCGGGTTCAAACCGGCCCTGAACCCGTTGAGGCGGGTTCAAACGGGCATAGCCTTTCAAAGGGGTAAAACTCAACCCTGAACCCAGGCCAGCCCACGGGCTCGGGAATCCCTAATAAAAACCGACCTTGTGTCACATGTTGCCCCAGTGGGGGAGACTCAATATCGTGAGTCAGTAGTTCACTTTTGAACAGACTGATCGGTTCAACTCTCTGTCTCCGGACGGAGAGGAACCCGAAGGAGGCTACGCCGAAGGGCGGAGTCTCCTTCGGGGAGATAAAACCGGCCCTGAACCCGTTGAGGCGGGTTCAAACGGGCATATTTTGGGGCCGAGCCCACGGGCTCGGGAATCCCACAATAAAAAACCGACCTTGTGTCACATGTTGCCCCAGTGGGGGGGAGACTCAATATCGTGAGTCAGTAGTTCACTTTTGAACAGACTGCTCGGTTTGAACTCTCTTCCTACGGGCGGGAGGAACCCGAAGGAGGCTACGCCGAAGGGTGGAGTCTCCTTCGGGGAGGTAAAACCGGCCCTGAACCCGTTGAGGCGGGTTCAAACGGGCATATTTTGGGGCCGAGCCCACAGGCTCGGGAATCCCACAATAAAAAACCGACCTTGTGTCACATGTTGCCCCAGTGGGGGGGGAGACTCAATATCGTGAGTCAGTTGTTCACTTTTGAACAGACCGATCGGTTCAACTCTCTGTCTCCGGACGGAGAGGAACCCGAAGGAGGCTACGCCGAAGGGCGGAGTCTCCTTCGGGGGAAATGCTCAAACCCTGAACCCGTTGAGGCGGGTTCAAACGGGCATATTTTTGGGGCCGAGCCCACGGGCTCGGGAATCCCACAATAAAAACCGACCTTGTGTCACATGTTGCCCCCCAGTGGTGGGGAGACTCAATATCGTGAGTCAGTAGTTCACTTTTGAACAGACTGATCGGTTCAACTCTCTGTCTCCGGACGGAGAGGAACCCGAAGGAGGCTACGCCGAAGGGTGGAGTCTCCTTCGGGGAGGTAAAACCGGCCCTGAACCCGTTTATACGTGTTCAAATGGGCTATTTTTTGGCCGAGCCTAATGGCTCGGGAATGCCCACGTTAAAAAGGCCTTGTGCCACATGACACCCTCGTGGGGAGGTGACTCAATATCGTGAGTCAGTAGTTCACTTTCTGTGCGACTGATCGGTTCAACTCTGTCTACGGACGGAGAGGAACCCGAAGGAGGCTACGCCGAAGGGCGGAGACTCAATATCGTGAGTCAGTAGTCCAATTCAAGTCAAGTGTCGAGTCAGAGGCAGTCCGAAACAGAGTCGCGTTTAGACAATTACTACAAGACATTGGAATAGTGATACTGGTTGAGACTACATTGTTCTCTCTACTAAACCTGATTGTTCATACTAACACTTCTACTTCTCTGTATATATTCCTGTTTGTAATATATCTGTGTTATTCCATATACGTGTTCGAGTTCATCTTTATTGGTTCTATCACCCGTGGTACAAGGAATCGGACCATAACAGTAAGCCTGATCCGTGATATTCTTTTGTGCATTTTTGAGTGCAGAGAGAAAAGATGTCATTAGTAGATTATACTCTTGTCGGTTCCATTTCGTAACCTTTCTTTTTATTAATTGATTTGACATTTAGGTCCAATGTTGCATTTACTCCGGTTCTGATGACAGGTCTCTCATTGTCCGTGGAAGAGATTATTCCAGTGACAGATCTTTTGACCCCAGACTGGTTCTTCTTTGAGGTAAGCGGCCCTTGTGACGACCGCTCCGGTATGAGTTCTTATTTGAAAACATAGAGATTTGTACTTTTTGCATTTCATCCTTAACCGCCCAGCGGTAATTTTGTTCAAGATATTACCTCTCGGGTGATTGTCAATCAAAACTAAACATCTCGTCCTAACCATGAAACACGCTTATTCACCACGGAATATCACCCGATATTTCTAGACCAGTGGGAGTTTTATTCAAACATTTATTTTTATCATTTCTGTCATTATCATTATTATTATTATTATTGTTGCTGTTGTTGTTGTTATTGTGGATTCCGGGATGAAATTCGGTACCAATAAATAACAAACGCCAAGAATGAGTATAGGAAAATAATGTAGTAACGTAATAATACAAACTGGTAATGCAGGTTAGTAGTTCCAGGAATACGGATTAGTAGCAAAATATCTACACAGTCTTTGGTATTGAAGTATCGCTGTATGACTTCTTACGGAGTCTACGTGCTCGCTCACTGTGACTGTCAGTCTGTCTGTTACCTTACTCTCACTCTTCCGGTCACCTACAACCTTTCACTCCACTCTCTTGCTCTGTCTCCTGTCTTGCTCTTATTGTATCTCGGGTCTTCACGTAGCAGTAGTATATGTATGTACTGGGTGAGTCCATTTGTGCAAAAAGGGGAAAATCCCTAAACAATTATTATTATTATATGATTAATTGTTTACTTATATATAATGTGTGGCATGCGTCGGTCTCGAGATGCCATAGATCTGAAACTTAAAAGTAATGACACAGTGGCCCAGCATCTGTTATGGTTGTATAGGCCCACACGGTAGGGAGAGATTCAATTGCAACGAATGCATGTGAAAACGTTCTCCTTAAATGGTATTTTGCTTTCTTTTCCTCGAGCCCCCGTTTCTTCCCTCTTTACTCTAGCCATCGATATAAATCGCGTATCCAGCTTGAGCGATCTTTGGTGACATCTCCCCCTTTCTCGATATCCATGTCCATCTTTCTCATGTCCGTGTTTTGAGACGTGCTTGAAGCGAAAAAGAGGTCACCCCCGTGTCCTCCTGTTGATGGCCAGGTCCCCGTACAGAAGGAACTTCGTAATCCACCCCTTCCGCCATCTGTGAACTGTTGCTTCCCGTGTTTTGACTCCGCGGCGAAGCGAAGCTGTAGTATGTTCTCCAGACTGAAGCGATATTTTAGGAGGAATTAGTGATTGCCCATACAGCACGTTTTCCCTCTCCACGCCAGCGATGTTTGTCCAAGGGAAAGGCAGGGAAAAACTTAGCTTCTTACCGGCGTCGTCGAAGAAGTTTCCAGAACGAAGTTGAACACAACATCCGACTGTCTCAAGGACTCCGGCTCTGGATTTGTTATCAGGGTTTACTCTTGAAGCCTTTCCCATGATTGTGTATAACCGCAAAGCAGCGTATTTTTCCTTTTCTTTGTGGACTGTGCTCCCAGGCTGATGAGTTCCATCTGCTCGAAGTATATACACTACATTTCAAAAGTTTAAAGCAACCCCCAGAAGTAGCATGGGATGAACTTGACAGAAGAGTGGAAAAATGAAAAAAAAGTTCTTAGAGTCATTGAAAAAAGAATGGAATCAATTATCAATCTCATACTTTGAGAAACGTTTGCAATGTGTGCCAAAAATTTGTGCTGCAGTAATGAAGATTAAATGAGGATATTTTGACGAGAGCAAAATTTAATCAAAAAATGCATTTTTTTCTTTTTTTAATAATAAAATTTCTAATAAAAATTCATGTCTCTATTTTTTTTCTTTAACGATGTATAATTATTTTCTCTTATTTAAAATACAAAATAACTATTTTGGGGGCTAATTTGAAAAATTACCAAGTGGGTACCTCAAATTATTGAACTGTAGTGTATATACAAACATAAACACACACGTATATATTTTACACTGGATGTCGGAGTAAACAGATCGTTATTAATGTACGACTAAGAATTATTATTATTATTATTATTATTATTATTATTATTAAAATTATTATTATTATTATTATTATTAAAATTATTATTATTATTATTATTATTATTATTATTATTACTTTAAAGGATAATAATAGAGATCAATAAATAAAATAGAAAAGAATACATGAATAAAGAATAAATCATCAAATATATGAGAAAATATTAATATTACTATTACTACTACTACTACTACTACTAATAATAATAATAATAATAATAATGATAATAATAATAATGATAATAATACGCACAACATTATATTAACAATAGACCACGAGACCACTTACGTTCTGTTTTATTACTGGTATCATGTAGGATATTCATTTTTATATTTTGCTTTATGTTCAACACTTCTGCTAGATTGATTTTAGATGTAGTAACATTTTCTATAATTAAAACGTTTTTTGTAATATTGCGTTTGATTGATTCGTTTCTAATACTTATGAATCCTTTGAAGTTTATTTAAACATAGAAAATATTTTTTCGAAATAATAATGCTTTAGTGATACAAGACTTACTAATTAACTCATAACTGGGATGGAAATGAAGTGAATTTATACCCTTTCCCGAGGGCATTTGCACGAAAGTGAATATAATTAACCCAGAAAGAACTGGAAATCTGCTCTCTGATTAAAATTACCGTACCATTATTTATTTCACCACCCAAAAACCCAAGCTTACTGCGCCTGTTATTCTCAAGCGGTTACCCATCTAAGTACAGACCAGGATCGACATTGCTTTACTTCAGTGATCTTACGGGGGCCGGCGTTTCTCTATGGAGACTGGGACACGTTTCGTCTTTCTAAAGGACTTCTTCAGACTAATGATTTTTTTCCTACTGATGGAGTCATAGATATGTAGGGGGAGGAAACAAAAATTATTTTTTGTTTTCAATCAGCATGGCTGATGCTAACCTCCAAGAAAATTAGTCATTGCGCCTTGTTCATTTAACGCCTCCGACTAATATTAATTGGAAGGATTATATAGAGTCATTAGCCAAGTCTGCTTCTAAGAAAGTGTATTCACTATGTGGTGCTAGGCAATAAATCTACCGTTGCTTGGCGCATTTAATATTGTTGCTGCATGTACTCTGGTGTATCTGATATGAATTTAGAGATTATAGCCAAAACCCAACGAAAAAAATCACATTGCCCTAACTTAGCCTTGTCTATAAATATGTTCATGTCAATTCTTCTGATGAGCTCGTCTCGATTTCATGGGTTTAAGTCTATTACTAGAACGGCAGCTATATTTATTGATAAATGTGCTGAATATCAGTGACAGAGCATATTTAAATATGTAAATATTAAATATGCAACGATGTTGATCCCAGATAACTCGCATTCACACACACACATATATATGTAGATAGATATATATATATATATATATATATATATATATATAATACCGAATTTATCAGCTGTTATGAACTGTGTATATATATTTTTATAATCTCATTGGCAATGTTTTCTTAATGAGCAATCTAAGATTTTGTTTCAATTTTTTTTTGGTCGATTATACCTTATAGTAGGGTCAGTTGGGCACCGTCTGTGAGAAAACGAACACCACGACGCAATTCATTCCGCTAGAATTTGGAAATAGCACGCTGTCCTAATTCGCATTCGCGCCGAAGCTCCTATATGAACATTTCCAAGTCAGTTATGGGTTAGTTAGACGCCGCCTGAGAGGCGGGTTAGTAGTTACAATACGAACATTTCAGAGAGTTTGGATGTCAATCTGAGGACAGTGCAGAGGATCCGGAAAGAGTTGGATGAGTCTAATGCTGATTCCGAAGGTGTTTGGAGTGATCATTATATATATATATATATATATATTCGTAATTTTGGTAAATATATATGTTAAAATGAAATGTCAGTGTAATTGTCACATTTTAATAATTTAGACAACATTTCGCACCCTGTATTGTTGAGTAAGTACTGTTACTTTTACCATGGAAGCTGAATATCTCATTGTTACAAAGGAAAATATCTGTCTCTTGGACTTTCGTTTTATTTTATATAGTAGATGCGAGAATATCTGTTAATTCTGCTGTCTTTCAATAGTAGAATGTTTGTAAGATTGAATGAATAATTATATACGATTCAAATATTTTCTTATATCGTGAGTGTCCTTTGTTTTTATGCATTTATCTTCCCGTGGTTATAGCGTTAATAGTGTGTAGCTGTTCAACAAATGAACCCTAATGGCATCTTTAAATTTGGTAATTCAATCTTTACTTCCCTCTCACCAGAATTTCGCTTCGTTCGTGGTTTTGTTCAAATTGCACCTTCAAAAAACAAATCCTGGACGGAACATCAATAAAGTAACCCAACCCTCTTCCAGACAATGCAAATAGGGATCGGGCTGGTTGAGAGGGGGGGGATATCGATCTGTTGGAAGCCGCACTAAACAGGAAAGCCGTAATTCAATCACTAATCAATTACGCAACCAATGAGTGGATAAATCAATCAGTGGATCGATCATCTAGGGCAAAGGATTCGACGTAGAATCACAAGGCTAAAATGTATTTGCTGGTACCAATTCAAAGTTTCAGGTTGGAAATAAAACTGCAAGACTTACTCGTATCGAATTCGAGACGAGTTGCTCTGAGGTTCAACTTAGTTTTAGTAGATTTTCACATTACAAAAGAACAGAAAAGGATCGCCACCTGATACACTGAACTTATAGGTGGTAATAATTCAATTAGAATATTAGAAATACACTTCAAACCTGCCTAGAATCAATAGACCACTGGGAAGGGTTTAAAAAAAAAAGAAAACCTCAAAATATTAGAAATACGATGAAGAAAGAAATCAAATTGCAGTAGAGTGTAATGTGATAAACATATGCTTCTTCCTTTATACGCTGTGTCTCTTCGGAAATTGAGAGATTATGGCTCTCCATAACTTCCCGTCTTTTATAACTCTAAGTAAGTTTTCCTCTTACTATCCCTGCCAAATTATTCACTTACTCAAGCAAAGTTGCAAAATGTTTCCCCTAGACATTTTCTCTTCACAGTGACCCGTGCATATCTAATTCTCCTAAACTTCTTCCCACATTGTATATGGCAAACAGTTCAACTGTCTCTTTCTGGTTTTAAATGCAAATCTTATGTTTTGTTCCCATTTGTCTTAAAGGTTTCTCATTGCTCACATGCACCATCTATGATATTCTCAGAATTCTTTTATAGAACCAAATCATAGTCGTCTCTTCATATGCAAGTAAATGTTTCAGCATTCACTCTCATATATTAGGATTGATATTAAGCAGGAATTCGGCACGCTTTGTTAGTAAGGAAATTTTCCTATCTTTTGATACTTTGTATAGCTTTTGGAAGATATCTTTCTCTAGTCCCAAGAATCTTTGGTTTTCTGTTTCATTACAACATTACTACTATGTCATTTCTCTATCGGATTTCTGTTTTCCTGGCATTTTATAAGATGTCCCAGACATGTAAATTTCTGCACTCTGATTAGTAGCTCGCATATTGGCTATCCCTCCTACTAATTGCCATACATTAGTCCTTTCTTCGTGCTTACCTTTCCTAATTTGTCAAGGACATATTTTTTTGATGCTATGTTTTTCTTATCCGCATTCAACGCGATGCATGTTATCAGCATAATAATAATTTTTTTATCGAATGATTTAAAAAAAAACTTATAAACAAAAATAATTTTCAACATAACTCCTTTTTACCTGGATATATGGATATATATATATATATATATATATATATATATATAAGTGAACATTGAAGTCAACACTTCGAGGCGACAGGCTGTTTCATGCTAGACGCTATATATATATATATATATATATATATATATATATATATATATATATATATATATTTATATATAAGGGAACATTGAAATCAACACTTAGAAGTCAATTGTGTCTAGGACGAAACAGCCTGTCGCCTCGAAGTGTTGACTCAAATGTTCACTTTTATATTTATATTTACATACGCTCTATCTCTGATATTGAACACTTTATCCCATAAATGTAGCAGACCTTAAAACTATATTTCTTCATATATATATATATATATATATATATATATATATATATATATAGTAATGATACAATATGGTAATCCGTATGGAATTTCCAGGAGGATATAGATCCAAAGAACGACAGAGCAAAATTATTACTAATTAAGGAATATCAAACACAATCCCATAGGAAATAATTTTTTATTTCAAGAGAGCTCTAAAAAGCAGCTTTCAATTTTCAAAATCTAAGAAATAGGAGTAAACACAAACAGAATATATTTAATGTCTCTATCAATGGATGATGAATTCTATGGAAAAATTACAAGAAACATTAAATAACTTGAGTGTCTCATGAAGCTTTTAAAATAAACACAAAAACGTATTCACAAAAATGCTCATAAAATAAAGGATAAAACCTGGACGATGATATTACGCTAATCTCGAGATTCTTGACTAAATCCAGAGATGGATTTTCAAGATAATCGATCTTGACCAGCCACACCGTCTTCAGTCCCTTTCTAAACGACGTGACGTGACTTCCTTTTCACTTTTGTACAAACACTTTAACGGCAACAGCTAATATGAGCCTTTTTCCTGGTGCTCAGACTACATGATGTTAAACGTGCTACTAGATTGGCAGTTAGGTCCAACCGTTTTACTGTTGAACTACCGAGATGCAAATGCCATTTAACAGGGTTATTTTTTCTTCGCATTATCCACCTGTGGAAATCAGTTCCGATTTCATGCTTCTTTGATACAATCTTTAAAAATTTAAATTCAACGTCATTCGCCATCTACTGTCTGTTCCTTTCACTACTCCTCCCCCATTTCAATTTTCTTATTTTCATTCTCTCTCACTCCCTGTAACCACCCGCGTTCAAGTGACATTTTCTCTATCGTTCGGAGTAAACGATTAAAAAAAAAATACCATCGATTAATTATTATGCAGTGTAAATCTCATATGAATATATAGCTAGCTTCATGTCAAGCAAGGTAGCTTATTGTTCTGATCTCACGGAGATTGAAATATTGTTGTGATCTCTATAGACAGGAAAGGAAAAATCTAGAAATATATCAGAATGGGTCTTAATGAATTTGTAAGAGAACCTAAAAAAACACATGGACCCTGTCCAAGACTTTCAATATATTCGCAATACAAAAACACAGATTTATCGAAAAAAAAAGGTGAAAAGCTCAAGGAATAGTAATTCCGCCTTCTAAAAAAAGAGGTAATGAAGAACTTGGCAAGTACAGCCTAATATAAATTATTCTCAAAATTACTTACGAAGAGAATAACAAACACCGGAAAATTAAATTACACTAAGTGAACCGTCAAGGAGTTTTTACTCAACAATAGATCTATAAATCTATAAACAATAGATCAGCTAATAAAAAAAAGAATTTAACAAACGATTGTTTAGCACTTCTTGACTATGAAATGGCATTTGAATCAGTTGGAGACTCGGACGTTTTTAACATATTTCGATCGGAGAGAGCTAAGGAGAATTATATAAATGTTACTGAGAATTTAAACAATAACCGTACTGCAATAATAAGTCTGTACAAGAAAATAAAATAAAAAATTGGAAAGAAATACGAAAAATATGAATATTTCCTTACATTATTTCCAGAATCACATGTCAGAAATAAAAAAAAAAGAAATAAACACAAACTGAACATATTTAATATACCTATCAATGACTGATGAATTCTGTGGAAAAATTATAAGAAAAATTAAATAACATAAACCCAGTGTCTCATGAAGCTTTTAAAATA